CCTCCCTCCCTCCCTCCCTCCCTCCCTCCTTCCTTCCTTCCGTTTTTCAAGACAGGGTTTCTCTCTTGCTTTGGATCCTGTCCTGAAACTCGATTTGTAGACTAGGCTGGCCTTGAACTCACAGAGATCCACCTGTCTCTGCCTCCTGAGTGCTGAGATTAAAAGTGTGCGCCACCACTGTCCAGCTTCTTTTTCTTTTTTGTTTCTATTTACTTATTTTATTTTATGTGTATGAGTGTTGTATACATGTATATCTGTTAACCACGTGTGCGTCTCGTGCCCATGGAGGTCAGAAGAGTGTTGGGTCCCTGGAACTGGAGTTAGGGGTGGTTGTGAGCAGCAGTGTGGGTGCTGGAGTGACTGAGAAGCTGCTGATTTCTCTGTGCTCTCCCCGAGTGTGTGTGTTGGTTTTCTACAGTGAGAGTGTAAAGACCATCTGAGAGTTAGCGGAGAAAGGCTTGACTTTGCTGTTCCCTTGATGCCAGAGTACCGTCCTGTCTTCCCTCAGATGTTTTCCGTTCGTGTCTCTAGAAAAGCAAATCGGAACCTTTTCCATCCAGAATTCGAACATTCAGTTGCTTAGTTCAATTTCTCATTAGGCGGATTAGAATGACAAGGATCAGAAAAATGGAGTAAAATGCCTTTGGGTCACGTGGCTTGTTTGCTATGTGCTGATGTAAAATGATGGCGGGCAGGCATTGGTTCAAAGTAAGCACAAAGGATAAAATCACTCAGAGTTAAGATTCCTCTGGGAAAATCCTTAATTTAGCCTGAGTATGAAGTAAATGGATCATAACTGTCTTAGTTTACTATCTATTGCTGTGATCAAGCACCGTGATCAGAAGCAACTTGGAAAGGAAAGGGTTGATTTCAGCTTACAGTTGTTGCAGCTTACAGTCCTCCATTGAGGGAAGCCAGGGCAGGACCTGAAGCAGAGAGACCACAAGGTCTCTCTATCTATCTATGCTGCTATCTGGCCTGCTCTCTCTCATGGCATGCTGTTTGCTTTCTTATAACTCTAGCCTGTGCCCGGTTGACAAAAAAACAAAACAAAGCAAAAAAAAAAAAAAAAAAAAACAACCCAAACTAACCAGGACAGTAACTCAATTCATAAAATTCACTTTTAATTATGGAGCGCGAGAGGAGGGGCCTTTCACTGTGTGAGAGAGAAGGGTATAGGTGAAGGGATTCTTGTGTGTAACTCCTGTACCTAGCACAGCACTCCAGAGCCTTGGCCTTTGAGCTGCTCCAGGAAGGGTCAGGGATGTCTTTCAAGTTGATGATTGTGTTGTTCCTCATCAGTGACTACTGACTAATGAGGCCAAGCCTCTGTTCTCTCAAGCAAGTCTGTTCATTGTTTTCGTTTTCTTCCCTCTCCTTGGTTTTCCAGCTGGTTTAGATGTGGCTGATTGCCTCTTATGTTTACAGAGTAGCCACAAGGTGGCACTGTTGAAGTTCCCCTGGTAGTTTGAAGCAGCTCCTTCTGGGGAGTGCCCAGCCTTGGAGAAGAGGCAGAACAGATGAACATGTGTTATGTATATAAATATGGTTAGGATAATTGCATACAATTCAGTTTTCATTACAGTGAATTTTAAGGCATTGTCCATATCTCTGTTAAAGTGGAATTTTGTGGTATTGAATGTTATATGAAATGAATGGACTATTGGCTGGGACATGGAAATATTTCTGTTAAAATGCTATTTGTTTTAACAGGATTTTATCTGAACATATATACACACGTCAGTGCATTTCATACATGAGAATCTAATAGCCAGGGACAAGCTGGCCCAGTTGGTTTTGTGTGTGTGACTAGTAGACTTGGATTAGACCTGGCGTTAGTTCTTAGCCCAGACCCGTGCTGTAGAGCATTACAGGAAGACAGGACTGTGGGCGCGTGTGCTGTTCAGTGAGGTGCAGAGCGACTTTGACTCATTTACCTTGAGTTTGAATTTTTACTGTTAAGATTAACAATCACTTTAAACTTTTAATTGTGAAAAACATTAGTTCTAAAAAAATTGTCTATAGTTTTGGCTTTTTAAAAAGCTAACTGTGAACATTGTACCTGTCAGTATAGGAAAAATGGAAAATGTTTGTGGTTTTTGGCTCCTTTTGGTTCAGTGGAAAAAGTGATAATTATGATACGGTTTTCTAAAAATCATGGTAAATGTTTAGTCTGCAATGTCAATTTCTGCAGGCTAAGTTTGTGGTTTGTAAGAACTGTTGTTAAAGGGGAAATTTATACCATTTCAAATAGAGGCAGATTGTACTTCAAAAGGGATGATAAGTCTCGCTGATCAGTTTGGTGAGGTATCTGTGCAATTAAAAATGTTGAAGCACTTAGCTTCCTGACTGTGGTTATTCATCTGTCTAGCCCCAAGGAAGGACAGAAAACCATTATAGATTGTAAATGTGACAGACTAGATCAAAGGTCACAGAGAGGGGCAGGAATGAGCTAAGACTTCGGGGCTGGATGCAGGGCCGAATACCCAGCATCACAGTGGAGAATGTGAGTGTTGGCGTTAGATGGCCTCTAGGCTTCAGACCCAGACTGTGTGTGTGTGTGTGTGTGTGTGAGAGAGAGAGAGAGAGAGAGAGAGAGAGAGAGAGAGAGAGAGAGAGAGAGAGAGAGCGCGAGAGCGAGCGCGCGCGTGCGTGCGTGCGAGCGATGTGTCCGGTACCTGGTGAGTGCTCTGTGTAGGTGTTTGCACTGTCATTTGGTTTTCTGGATAGTGTCACGGGAAGCCCTTGGATTTGTGACCTGTGCTTCTTTCCTTTGTAGCCCTTAGAGCCACACACTCCTGGGCTTCGACACACTGCATGTAGGTGGCTGTCTTGTTTTCAGAGTTTCTAACTTCAGATTCATAACCAGGGCTGTGACTAGGGAACAAGAGCAGCAGGGGTGGGGAGGCGAGGTGTGACTAGGGAACAGGAGCAGCAGGGGTGGGGAGGGGAGGTGTGACTAGGGAACAGGAGCAGCAGGGGT